CAAGGGCGAAAGCCTTCTTCCCTTAATAAAGTGACTTAAAGTGACTTATAATTCAGATAAGGCGAACCCCTTGTCTAACATCGTTATGTCTGTGTATACCACGGAGCCGCCTTCGAACGAGGATGTACAGCGATATATTTTCCTAGCGGCGGATACAATTAGCACGGTATCGTTCGCAGCAGACACAGTAAGAAAAGCCCTGAGACAACCGTAGCTCGCCAAATCATCTTGTCCGGATATTTTATCAGCTAAACTTCTGAATAATCTCGCAGTACAACTGGCCTCCCCAATTTCGAAGATCTTCGAAAGTTCGATGGAGAAGGGGTCTCTGCCTACTGACTGGAAGCTGGCCAACATAACCCTATTTATAAAGGAGGAGAGATAGCGTCGCTTTATAGTTTAAGACCAATTAGTCTCACAAGCATTTGTTGCAAACTAATGGAGAAAGTCATCAAAACGGAACTAATGAGATATACTGAGGAGAAGAACTTGCTAAGCGCAGCACAACACGGATTCCGAAGTGGCCACTCTTGTCTCACTTACCTGCTAAGATCCATGGAAAGCTTGACGAATGCTTTGGAAATGGGTTCATCGGTCTACGCGATCTACATTGAGTTCAGCAAGGCATTCGACAAGATTCCACACAGACTACTAACATCAAAGTTGCATTAAATGGGTGTGACTGGAAATCTACTCAAATGGTTAGCCGACTTTCTAACAGGCGGGCGTCAGTGTGTTTGTATTGGATACACCAAAACAGAATGGATAACCATTTCCCGTGGGGTTCCGCAAGGAAGCGTTCTGAGCCCCATTCTGTTTCTGGTATATGCAAACGACTGCCTTGATTTCTTCACCTGTGAGTAAGCCATGTTTGCAGACGATCTAAAGATTTGGAAGTCTATCGAAAGCTCGGAGTGTGGACAAGACTTACAAAATGACGTCGATTGCTTACGGAAGTTGTGTGAAAAGTGGCTACTGAAGCTCAAATTCAACAAATACAAAGTCATTCGCCTATGGTCTAGTCGCAGAAAGGTGGCACCATTTGAGTATGACAACTTGGTCGGAGGTCACCAACTGGGGCAAGTGAACGAACAACGGGATCTAGGTGTATGTATGACACCCGACCTCGAACCGTCAACTCACTGTGCCATAACCGCGAAGAAGGCTATGGGCATCCTAGGAGCGATCAGAAGGTCCTACCTCTATTTTGATGAGGAGTTTTTTGACGAGTCTTCAGAACATTTGTTCGGCCGATGTTAGACTATTACGTCCAGGCATGGTGCCAATGGATGCTGGAGAAAATCCAAAGAAGGGCGACCAAACTAGTCATCAGTTTAAGAGGTCTACCATATGAAGGTCAACTGGATAGGCTCAACCTTTTTCCATTCTATTATAGGAAATTTAGAGGGGACATGACCATATTGTTCAAACTCGTCCAGGCAGTAGACTGTGCTCTTCAGATGGCCGATTTCTTTGAATTAGCAAAAACGACACATCTCCGAGGTCATCCATACAGACTGAAGAAAAACAACACCAAACTAGAAGTGCGGGCCAACCTCGTCTCCCACCGGGTCATTTAAGACTGGCATAAACTCTTTTCTCTTTCTGGATCCAGTTTTTCCTATACAGATAGATGTAATTTAGCGAACATTAAATTTGTGTGGATAAGAAGACTCGACGCCGGTATATGCTTCTTGTTTCGTGTTAACAATATCCCTAATCTCCCACAACTTAACATCCTTAAACCGGTAGAGTGAACTTACACCACTCGTAAATCCTCCATGATAATTTCACCACCCCTTTAGCTCCATACTTAACCTTCCTCGTTTTTTGCCGCCAAACATGCTTTCATGTGAAGTAATCTGCCACTCGAAATTAGATTGTGGTCTATATTATCGATTTTCAAGGACAAAATAAGTAAACATTTAGATTTGGAGGAAATAGAGTCCTTACTGTTTGTTTCCTTCCCAAACACGCAACTTCTCGACTTCGAAAAGGTCCTCCTGGAGTTCGATTCTCTTTCTAAGATAGCCGAGTAGTCCTTAAATATATTTACATTTTCTCTGCGGAGTCAAACATCATTTCCAGATGGCGCCAAATCTTCTCCGTTTTGCAACCCTGACGGTGGTCTTCAAGGTCTCTGTTGATGATTGTCGCGGGTTCTTACGTTTTGGCTAACTTATCAATGGACTCTGAAGTCTGCTTTGTTGCATTTCGGTGACATTGCATTGACTTTTACGGTCCTCTCCTCGTATAGACCCCGTTGTCCCCGATGACGCCTCTTGTCTCACCCCGATGATGCTATATGATTTTCTTCCCACGACAATGAGTTTTCCAAACCATTGAGCTCTCGGTGTTTACTAGGAAAACCGAGCTTCAGTTTGAAAATAAATAAATTTTATATTTTAGGCCCGGAGGGCCGCCTCATTGCAAACTTAGTGCTGTAGAAAAATAAATACAAAGTTAATAAATGCTACTCTCCTTAAGCAACCACATAGGCAGCGGGGAGCGTTTAGTATGGTAGACAGATAATTCATATCCACCAACATATCGTCATTATAAAATAATAGTAAACACTCTCTGAAGTATATGGTGAACTAAGGAGGAAGCAGTAAAAAAAACTCCCATCTCATATTTTTTAATTCCCTTTGAATTATTGTAGCCCAACTAGCTCCTCTGTGTTAAGCATTCAATTGTGCGTTGAAACTAGGTACTCATAGTCTCATGCCTATTTTCGTCAATAAAGTGAACTTAACTGAGTAAAGATAGCATGGAGAGTATGACGAGGTTTTCGCGCAAGTCTATGGAGTTTAACCGAAATAAACATAGGGTTTTGGAGCCTGGCTAATGCTCTGACAATTGCCTGTCCACACATTATGCACGTTCTCGCAACATTAATTTAATATCACACAAATCTGCAGGATCGCGAATAATACATACCTGGCCTTTGACCATGAACTTGAATATCAAAATTTCTGACTAGCCTACTTGCAAAAACTGCGGGGATGTAGCGCGCATTTCGCATCGTGCAAGATGACAACTTTCGAGTCGATTGAGTCATTGAAGGAGAGCATAAAAGCGCAAAAGCAGCTCCTGGAGACAACCGATTTATCAATTAGAAAAATTACCGGACGTGTGCTCGGCGAGGAAGGGTAGGTTTTCGTTTTAAAATAGATGCTTGTCTGGGGAATTGTTAGAATGTGTCTTTGATTAATGTTGTGCTACTTTTGCAGGCGCAATTTTCCTGAAAATGTCGCCAAGTTTCCGTCTAAACGACCGTCTTTTTCAGGACCTCTTATGGTTCAGTCAAGGTAGGTAAGAAGTTTTGGATTTATGCCTACTTATATAGAGTTACTGAACCTGCGTATTCTGCCCCCAAGAGGTCTCTTGCAGACCGCCAAGAGGAGGATCTTAATGTAAGTGCGCTTTTTATTGTATAATAATTCACACTCGTTTGAAAGTTTTTGTTTATTGAAAATATCACTTCAGTTTACGACTACTTTGTTCATGCACTTTGGGGTGCCTCTTTGTTGCCTGATTAAGATTTGCCTCTCGGTTTCAGTGGCATCTACGTGTAGGTATTTCGTCTAAATAGGCATAAGCTTGGAATAAAAGAACCCAAGTGCCACCCTAGGTTTTCTCCTGACGTTTTTACGAACTCGTGCATTCGTGGCCCGAGAACTTGATCCTACCTAAACGCCAATGTTTTAGTCCAGATATGCCCTTTCGATATTGCTATTCCACTTTTTGACCTATTCAAAATTTACCTGTAGGTTGCACACAGTCGAGCATCAATGAACTTGCATTTTTTTAGATTTGTGGTCGTAGAACGTTAGAGGTTGGGCGTAATTTGGAAATTGCAATGACTAACTACGTCGACCTTTTTACACATGCATCTAAAAACGCAGAGAAATGGGTCTCTGCAACTCTTTTGTGTCTTTACTTCACGTTCGCATCCATCTCTTACTTGCGTTCATTTCATTTTGTAAAATTTTTCGTCATCGTGTAGTAAAGTGACCTCTAGGTAACATTCATATATATCTCATTTTCGCAAATTTTCCTGCTTCTTGGAAATCACGGTCCAAATGCTTATTTTTAGTTAATTCGCAAACGTATATTTTGTAAATACCGAAAAGACAGGTAAATCACGTGGAAACCCGTCATACATCTGGGCTAAATTGGTTTATTCTGACACAGCGTCGGGCAATCGTATCAATACATAGACCATTTGGATCACCCTAACGTGCTCCAGCCAGGTCAAGCGCGGCACGCCTAGACGGACTGCTTAACTTTGTGAGTTACTGTAACTGATCTTACCTCCGGGCTTTCCGACTCAGTCTTTTCATGGGGCCCAGGTAAGTGGTGGGAACGGGTGCGCCGGTTACTGTACAAGTTTGCTGACGCTGTCACCTAATCCGCATGCAATTCCCTACATTGCGCTTACTATGCCGTGAGGCATACGTGCGCGCCGTTTGAGTACCTCACCACTTTCGTCTCCAGCACAATCTGTTGTTTTGGGAAGGTAACCCACTAAACCAATGATTTTAATTAAGAATTCTAAAGGTACTCTCTTGTGTCCACTTCGTACTTTAATGTGAATTTACAACAGGTGATAAACCATGTGGCCACTGTTCAGAATTGAAAGTCATGAACCGGGTCCACCGGCGATAACAACGGTATGGAAACCTATGGAGGTCTTATTTACGAAGCATTTGCATAGACATTTTCAATCACAAAATCTGATCTAATTTGCAAAAGGATTTTCAGACAGTAATTCTGCCGCCGTCAGTTCTGAATTCTATGCTTTCTTAGGCAATACTTCAAAAGTTGCTTCTTTCAAAGTAATCTACGTTTCTTTCTTACGTATCATGCTCACTTTGGCGACATCGATCCGCGTTTTAGCAATCCCTCCTAGAAGAAACTACTAAAGCGATTCGACTGATAACTCGTTGTATTAAAATTAATTTATCTTACATCAGGTTTCCCTACCTTCCTCCGTTGTTCGAGTGAGTGAAAAACGATCTCGAACTGATGCTATGAAAGAATTGAAGTCTTCAGACCGTGAGCGGTAAGTCTGTTGCGCCGTATTGTCTACATTCTTAGCAGTGTCCTACAGTCGGACTATCACATGTTGCTTATCTAAGACTTGTCTATACCTCACTTCTTCCAAAGATTGTGCTGTCTTTGCTGTCTTCACTATCAAATGTGAAAACTCTAAACATCTATTCTGTACTTAGGCGCCAGTTTCGTTTTGTTCCCTGCTGAGCACATAATAATTATCTCATCAAGTCATCTGTTCTTCAAACTTATGTCGCACGCATAATCAAATCGACTACATAGTCGAAGTACGCTTAACAAGGACCGTCTTATCATCGCGCGCCTTTTATTTACGTTGGTAAATACTTTCCGTCTTTTGATAGTAGTAGCTGGTTTCTGCGCTCTTCACACTTGCGTTAATAAATGTGATTAAATTCGGGGATATCAGCCCGAGTCAAGTTCCTTCTTATACTCTTTAAAAACCAGTGTGCTATTAGTAACTCAAATGAACGCTATGCCCAGCGCATACTTGAGTAGATTCTTCACAAGTTTTGTTGTCTTCCGTAGCGTAGCCCCATGACAGTTTCTGTTTTGCCAATCGTTGAGGGCGCAAACGGTCACATAATAGT